TACATTTCCATTTTTGGAGTTAGAGAAGGATCTACAAGGCCAATAAAAAGTTGTGGGACTAGGTGTCTTGCACTATACTAATACCTTGTTTCAACGGATTATAATTAAATTCGCACACATTATTATTATGGGATGTCCACCATAAATATGGAGGTTTGAGGACCACTGTCTATGCACGTATATCTATATTATAAAGATTCTAGTTGGTGAAAAATTTAGGCCACGTTTATCTAGAATATTAATAATAAGATAGAAGAAGACTTGAAATATTTACTTTACACATGTGTAACCATTTTGATTTGATTATTACACAGAACAATTCAATGGTTGGCATCCTGTATTAGTAAATTCGTTTCGACTGATTTTAAATGAAATTTCCATATTAATATTAATATATGTCCAGTCACTCTGTTAAACGAGGGTCATACTGTACTTTTTTCCCAAACAAATAAAAAAAAATAAAAAATGAAAGTGTAACACGAGAATCAAATTTAGTGTAACAAACTTGTTTATTTCAGCGTTGCAAATTATTATTATGGGGAAATGAAATAATTGATGGCAATAAAAGGATTGGGTAGATCATATTGAATAAGGATTCATCAGCAGATGGTTTGAATTATAATTCATCAAGTCATAACTTGTTCTCGATCCGAGGCTTGTCAGATGATTGATTTGTTAACTGAAAAGTTGAAATTGTTATTTTTGAAGGCAGATGAATTTCAGTGTTCTTTTTCAAATGAGCTATGCGTCACAGTAGTGATATTAGTTGCCAAAAAAAAATTTTTTCTCTTAACATTCATTTTTACATCTAGAATTTTAGTGTAGAATACAGTGGCATAGACATTTAGTTGAGATGGGACCACATGCATTACTTAGAATGACAAAAAAAAATCATAAATTTGCTCAAAAACAAAATACAATACATCATTGCAGGATAAAAATCAATAGAGTCCCATTCGTAATTATTTTAACTCGAATTATTATTATTCATTTTATTTCTTTATTCGAATGTAATTCGAATACTCAAATTCATAACGAATGAAACAAATAATTCAAATAAACCTTATTCGAGCCAATGAAGACGAGATATTATAATAACAATAATAAATAATGGTAATAATAGTTATAGTAATAATAACGATAGTAGTAGTAATAATAGCGGCAAGCTTAGTACCATCTGAAAAGCATTTTCATTAATTGGGATTTATTTAAGTTCTTGGTCGGTTAAGAGTTGTTTGGCTTAACCGGCTAAGCTTATTCTACTGGCTAACATCACTGCCCCATAGATTATAACTTTCCACCAAATTAATACATGTCAACTGTAAGCTCTATCTCTCGTTTGCGATGCTTTGAATGAAACATTTTCAACAACAACGATTCCGCTTTCCAGTTTATTCATGACTTCCTCTTCTTCTTCTGCAGCCTTCTCTTTCGTAACCACTACTTTTGTATCTTCTCTCTTTTGTAGTGCAAATAATTACTTCTTAGCCGAGCTAAGGACTTTTTGGTTAAGTTGAAATCTGGCCTTGGGTTCTGGTACTGATGAGCGTGACGATACAAGATATCCATGTATTTAAAAAATTTGAGAAGGGACGAAAAAAAAACTCTCGCAAATTTATTGATATCAGATTAATTATTATACAATAATGATTTATAAGAGGATTTGCATAAATAAATTAAACACGTAGTTATTCAGCGTTTGTTGCAAAAACACAAGGCTGGGAAAGTTCTTCACGTCATAGACCGTACATATTCCAATACACGTATTAAAAAAACAAAGCTCGATGGGGACAAACTTTATTGTTATTTTGCTACAATAGATGCAAAATAATTGGTTTTTCGAAAAGATTTCACTGACCAATTGCTCATTTGAGTTACGCGGTCAGCCTGGTTGAAATCGGTACTATCCTTTTTTGAAAAAAACTCTTTTTAGAAATTCTCAGGTTTCAACTTGTTGTAAACAATAACATCTTTTCTCTTCTTCGCAGAGAACATAGGGGAAGAACGGATAGGATATGTGCAACTAGTAAAAACTCTGTTTTTTCAAACCTAATTTTTTTTTGGGAAGAAATTTTTTGTCTTCATTATTTTTCTTATTGTTATTTGATGATCTATGTCCTTTTTTGCACGTGATAAACTGTTTATCGTGCAATAAAACTTTTTCCGAGCGATGTTTGATTTGTTTTTTTAGTATTTAGTTAATGTGATAATGATATTGAAATGGTATTGGAAAAAATTAGTATGAATAAATTTTGTTTACTCTACATTTAAGAAAAGCATCGTTTGACAATTCTGATTAATATTTAATTAACAATTGAATTAATTATCGTTTTTTTGCTATGCTTTTTTTTTAAATTATTAATAAATTACCTTTACCCATTTTAGCATATAACATGTCAAAAATAAAAAGCTTTGCCCATATAATTATATTGATATTATTTATTTATTCATTGAGCAAAGAGCTCATTTATTTGGGGTTTTTTATTTATTGATTAATGATTGTTGTTACATGAATAATAATAAAAATTACATATAAAAAGGATATTGTTCACAAATTTAATAAATTTAATATTAAAGGTCCAAAGCCTAATCCCATTTGAGAAATAGATAGCTGAAAGATGGAGAACTTCAGTAATATCCTTTGCCTTTCTTGATAAATGTATATAATTAATGAAATAATGGAAGTGGTTGAATATAAATGATTCGTGTATAATGAAAAAAATATAATACTTAACGGATGAGTTCATTCATCCATACCAGCATACAGAAGGACAAAAACAAAGTGCCAATTTGCCTAATAAAAAATCAGCCAAGGATTAGTTTTCATGCAAGATTGATAAATTAAAAAATAAATGAGTTTTTACTAATTAGTGCTTTGCTGGAATTTGAATTAACATCAATTTTTTATGATAAAACTCGAATTTTTTTGTTCTCACAAAAAATCTCTTGAATGTATGAAAGGCTCACTGTGTATCCTCTGTTGAAATCTTATTATCAATAATTTAAGTTATACACAATTATGTTGATTAAAGAATTGTTACCAAACCATAAAAAAATTATATTTTTAATGATTGTTACGCACCCATAAACAAATCCAAAATATTTACAAAATTTATTGTATATGATGTTTATATTAGATCAACTATTGATTATGCAAATGAAGATGATTTATTTGATGTTGAATTATTGTTTTTGATAACACGCCAATTTTGGTGTCAACTTGAATTAAAAGATCTACGCCAAGAAAATAACATGAAAACAAAAAAAAAATTCACTATAATAAATATTGTGTCATATGATTCAAATCTGTAAATGGCAACCCGATTTAGAAATAATAATAATCAAGTTTGTGTTATTTGCGTTAATAATAATAAACGAACAATCTCAGTTATAGAAAAAAACAATGGTTTCTTTTTGTTAATTATAAATCCAAGTTTACTGATTTAAGTCTAATGAATGGAAATCATATTCCATATTCGAATTATCCGTTCAATATAAACCCTTATTCAAATAGAAATCCCAAATTATTCAAATAGGACCACGAAGTAAAAATCGAACTATAAAGATATTGAATTACTTGCTAATAAATTTGATAATTCTAACATCCAAATTGATTTTTTGATCCGAATAGTCTTTTAAAAAATTTATACAAATGGAATATAAATAATTGTAATGAATTTATTCCAAAATTATAATTTAAACTAACCATTTTTCTACAATATACTAAATACACGTAAAGATTCATTCAAGTAGAATTATATCGTTTTAACTTAGATTTTCTGACTGTGTTATGTGAGGCATGGACACTAAATAATGTGATTTCACTATTATTCAAAATTATAAGAATACGTGGCAAAAATATCCGGTTTCTAGCTCGTTGTTACTTTTGAATTTCTGGTGCATTTGTAGCATTTATGCTACTTTTATTGGTTTTGCTAAGTAATTCAAGACTATTGTGGGTAAAATTTTTTTGGAGACCTTTGTGCTGACCCATCAACTCCTTGTTTGAATGTATCAGATATCGTAAAGAAATAATTGTTGTATCATCACTTAGGTAGGACATTATTTTTTAATAATAATTTTTTACGGATCTAGCTAGATTAATCATTAAACAAATAGAATAGCTTTAGGTTGATTATTTTTTATTATTATGTATTTGTATATTATTAAATGGAATCCATCTAATTATTTTGCATTAAAGAAGAAATGTGGATATTTCTTCATTTCCTTTCGCATTCATGCCATAATATCAATTTATCATTGATGTTATTTGCATTTTCAATTAATGTATAGAATTTTTTTCTTTATTCTTTTTAAATCATCATTAATTATATAATATATAAATTTTTCGGTAATCTTCAGTTGGTTCATAATCTCTATGTTGATATTAATATTATAAATTTAAATGATTTATTTGTCAATCAACTCATTATAACGGGTAATGATTTGAATACTAATACAGTATAACCCTTGCTTCAGCGGATTTTAAATGAAATTTTCATATATTAATATGTCTAGCCACTCCGTTGAAACGAGGGTTATATACTTTTTTCCTAAACAAATAAAAAAAAATGAAATTAATTTTGATTATTTCAACGTTGCAAATTGTCACCAATTATTATTATGGGAAAATGAAATAATTGATGATTGGGTAGATCAGATTGAATAAGGATTCATCAGCGGATAGTTTGGTTATAATTCATCAAGTCAAAACTTATTCTCGATTCGGGGCTTGTCAGATGATTGATTTGTTAACTGAAAAGTTGAAATTGTTATTTTGAAGGCATATGAATTTCGGTATTCTTTTTCAAATGTGCTGTGCGTCACAGATCACATGGATAAACTTTATTTCTTATTTTATTATAAAAATTGAAAAATAAAAATGATGAACGACAACAAGCAAAAGAATAAAGAAAAAAGAACACGACAGTTTGAATAGCTGTCGTTCACTTTTAGGCTCGTGCTCGCGTGAATCGAAGATAAGAGAGCATTAATCATCATCGCAAATTGTTTATAATCCATTTCGATTACTTCATCTCATTTGGTTGACGGTGACGTTGTTGTGTTTGGATGAGGCCGAGCTATTTGTTATCACAAAATTCCTAATTAACATCTTAATAGAGTCAACAACACTGATAATTTTTTATTTATTAACGCATCAATTAATCACACAAATCGATTGTTTATTAATAACACATGCACACGTCATCCACCACGAACCCTCCCGTGGTTTGAAGTGGTATCAAATATCGATACTAGAGAATCCGGGCTCACGAACCCTATGAATATAATTGGCTTAGATCCGCCGTCCTCAATGTAGATCTCGCTGCTTCA